AACTTTATCAGAATAAGTAGAGTCCAAAATCAAGGAATGTGGATTATAATTGGGGCCATGAAAACAACGCCTATTAGTGAACTAGAAAACTAAAAAAGTTCACAAGTCTGCAACCAATGGAGAATAGGAGAGACAGCAGAGCCCAGCAACAAGCAGACAAATTTAGAAGGCTGACAGAACACCCCATGTATCAAAGGTTTTATCATCTGGGAAGGGAAGACTAAAGCGAAAAAACTTTGTAGAGACTGCAAAAACTAAAATCAGGGAAGATCCTGTACTTAACTTATCAGTATCCAAACCCGTCCACATTACATATACGCTCTCTGCTTGGAGACAACAGCATCTGCTTGAATTGATAGAAAATATTCCTGGTATTGAGAAAAAGAACACTCAGAATGAAACAGAAAGAAGGAAAATCACATTAAACTACTTAGAAGAACGATACCCAAGTAACACCTGGACTCATGCATATACAGACGGATCAGAAAAAATTAAACAGAAAATGGAGGTGGGGAAATCGTCCTCAATCTAAAAAATGGATCAAAGAAAACACAGTTGATTGCAACTGGAAAGTTCTCAAGTAATTTTAGAGCAGAGGCAGAGGCCCTGAGAACTGCAGTAGAAATGCTTTTGTCAGAGAAAAACAAAGAGGAATACATAGCTATCTTCACAGATGCAAAGTGAGTTGTCTCAGCACTGAAGAGCAAAAATGATATAGAACTAGCAGACCTTAGAGCTGCACTCCATGGACTGAGTCAGAAATAAAAAAGAGTCATAATACAATGGTGGCGCGGTGATTTCGGTCACAGGCATGAGGCAAAGTTAAGTCTGATGTGATGTGTATAAGGAGATACTCCGTACCTCACTCGGGCGCCAGTCCTTCACTGTTCTGGTTTTACGGAACCTTATGCAAGACTCCTGCTGCACGTCCCCATCGTGCGCCACGGATAATGTCTCAAATGAGCATTAACAGAGTTGGCAGGGGATCTCGGAGCTGGCGGCCCCTAGAGGTGTAGTGTCCTTTCTGGCTCTCACCAGCCCGCCCCCAAACGCATGGGTGAAAAGTCTAACAAAACTCAAGGATTGCTTGCTAAATGTACCATCAAATGACAACTCTTGGTTAAAATTCTGGAGCGAATGGAAAACTCTGCTGCTGAGACTCAACCCTGACTGAGAGATTTACCCGCAGCCAAGACGAGTAACATCTCTTTTGGGCGACTTCTCGCAGCAAGATCCTACCTGAGGTACACCAACTTTTCATATGCTGGCTAGGAAATAATGCCCGACAAAGTTATACCCCACGGCACACATGCAAGATCAAAGTCCGACGATCATAATTCGTACCGATTAGGGAAAAGTCAAAATGTCCATATCCACTGGTCCTACTCGCCCGAGTGTTGGGACCAAACAGGTGAAGCCACGCCTGACGCATTTTGCTTCCCCATTCTGTCGTGCTAAGGACACAGCTGAAAGAACGTTAAAGGTGTCTAACGTACGATGAAAAAGAATGTACCTATTTGTGTGGCCAGAAAAGTCCTGGACCTGCGGGCTGCTCCCCGCTGATCTCCGGAGAGCGCAGCCTTGTAGCACGGGAAGCTCAATACATGGTTGTGAGGTTAAGCAGTCATGGGCAGGACGTGACAATTCCTTGGGTGAGCCCAGAACCAGAGCATCATGTGTCGGCTCTGCATTTATGGAAGCCTCCTTGGATGGCGGGGAATGCCCATGATCTGCCCCTGCCTTTCCTTGAGGGCTGAAAATTCTACCTAGGGCTGTCTTAAGGACGACATTCCGGGGGCCACACCTGTTAAAGGTCAAAGAGGACACCACACAAATAAGGCAAAATCCCGACCCACACAAAACAATGGCCACAGTCAACCTAGAAATAGGCTTGACGTCTTCCCTCGAAGTCGGAGTACATCTGTCGGAGAGGCGGGGAACGAGAACTGCAAACAAATAAGACAGTAAAACGGATGTACTCGCAAAACTCAGGTCAAGGTAAAAGCCAAAAGTCCATTTGGACGAACAACCGCGACTTACCGCCGGAATTCACAGACGGTGAACAAGAAGAAGAAAAGAAGAATAATACAATGGATTCCATCCCATTGCAACATACCTGGAAATGAAGAGGCTGACAGATTGGCAAAGGAAGGTGGAAGACTACCACAGCCTGATATAGACATAACATATGATGAGACCAAGAGGTTTATAAAAAGCACATATAGAATCAAATGGGATTCTGAACTTTCAGGCTACAAGAAGGATGATGCATACTACCAACTTGGCCAAAGAGAACAAGTAGTGATCTTTAGACTCCGCACAGGGCATAATAGGCTGAAACACCACTTGTTCAATAAACTAAAGATAGGAGACATTGATGATTGTAACTGTGGAAAGGGTAAAATGATGGCTAAACACTTGCTGCAAGAGTGTCCAGTATATGCAGAACAGAGGAAATCATTCTGGCTAACACCTGCAACCTTCGAGGATAAATTGTGTGAAGATGTCAACAACCTCAAGTTGGCTGCTGATTTCTTCAAATATATCCACACTGACATCTGAAGGTATAAGAAGAATAAAACTCCAGGATTCTCTGAGCTGATAGTCCCTAGAGATGCAGAGCTTGTAAACCACGTAAAACTATAGTGGATGAGGAAGCTGATAGTACCTAGAGATGCAGAGCTCGTAAACCAAGTAAAACTATAGTGGATGAGGAAGTCCACTGCAGTAAAGTCTAACATGCAAAAGAAGCAAAGTACTCATTTTGTGGAGTAGATAAATTAAATCCTAGGTCTGCAGGCTGCATACTGTCGGCTACAAAAGAGATAGCCCATGATGTATGAGATGTTCAATATATGGAAGTGAGGTTAAACAGTCATGAGCAGGACGTGACGATTCCTTGGGTGAGCCATGTATTAGCTCTGCATTTGTGGAAGCCTCCTTGGATGGCGGGGAATGCTCATGTTCTGCCCCTGCCTTCTCTTGAGGGCTGATCAGCATTATGGGGCTTCTCTGGACCAGCCTGATTGGGGCACCACCTGTGACCTGGGAAATAAAGATGACCACACAACAATGAGACTGCCATGTCCTAACCGGGAAGGCTAACCCGGTCAACAAATGCCTCAGAAGTCGGATGTGTTGGCCGAAAGGTGCAAATATCGCAGGGATGCTGTAAACGTATACAGCGCAATTACATCTTTGGATGAACGCAGAAGAAGAAGAAGAAGTATGATTAATGCTTCTCGCACACCTCAGAATACCAGTCCCAAATTATTCACTATTTAAAAATACCCATTCAGGGTTTCAAGAGTTAATCTAGGTAAACATATGTAATAAGAACACTACGATCTATGCTTTGCGTTATTATATAATTTAATTTGAACCAAACTCCCGAGATTTCGGTAGTACAGTTGTGAGTTTTCCGCCTGTCATGTGGGTGATCAGTGTTGATTCCTGGCCGGGTGATCATTTCCTTTAGTCTTTAAAAAGTGGTAGGGGTGTTGTTTTGTGGTTTTCAGCTAGGCTGGGATATCTGCGCCTTTCGCCCCAACACATCCTGTCAACAGTCATAATTTGTCACTTTTTAGGTGGCAGTGGAGCTATTCTTTATTTTTCTTCCATCATACATGTGGCCCTGGAATCCACAAGATGAGTCACGGGTAATGTAAAGGATGGATCAAAAAATGTTCCTCATCACAACTCTTTAATTGATCGAAAACTACTCCTCCCCACGCCGCTTCAATAGAACGAAAACTATTCCTTCCCACGACGCTTAGCTTCACGTCTAATCATAGCTATCCATCGTGCTATAATGGCAGAAGGATACAGATACTGATGGCTTAACAGTTTTTACCACATAACCTCTTGAGGCTCTCAAAGGGATGTTTTTCGCAGTGAATAATTTGGGACCGGTATTCGGAAGAGTGCCACTGCTTTCTATGGCAAAACCTGTTAACATTGCTGACATTTGGTTTTCATGTGCAAGTTGTGACTATACTGTAGTCTATAGTGAACACATACCACCCACTTTTCAGAAGATATGGGCAGGGGGTATGTTTGTAACATTTACCATTGTAGCCATGGCTCAGTGAAGACACTTTATCAGTGTTGACAGATGGAGACTGATATCATAGCTGCAGGATGATGCTGGGGTGCGAAAAGTTACCAGGAGATTAGGAGTCCCCCACTTTGTCAAACAGACTCTGCAAGATCATTATCATGCAACCAGCAGTGATACATACCAACACTGAGCAGGACATCCAAAGTCTAGCACAACTGAAAAGTAACTGGAATGTCAGCATTTTCCCTCTTCTTAATGCATAATCCCTTCTTAATTATTACTAAGCCACAGAGACCAGTGTTTTTTAGTTTTTGAAACATGATGCTGTTTGTGAGCCAGTTTTCTTCAAAGTTCAGATCTTGTAGAATGTCAGTATTTTTCCTCTTCTTAATCCATATAATTTCTATGAATTATTCTGTAACATATCAATTCAGAGACCTCACTTTTTTTTTATTTATTTATTTATTTATTACAAGAAAGTTCATGATTCACATCTGCATATTGCCATTGGAAGATTGCAGACTATAAATTAAAAAAAAAACTTCATTATTAAGTATTCTTTATAGACAGTATGATAACCAAGAGAAGATGGAAATGGCTTGGCCATGTTATGAAAATGAATCCTGATATACCTGCCAAAACAGCTCTCACATGGATACCAGAGGGAAAGAGAAGAAATGGGTGCCAAAAAACAACATGGAGGCGAACGATGGAAAGTGACCTGAGTGCGGCATCTCTGAAAAGGAAGATTGCACTGGACAGGAAAGCATGGAAAGTCTTCTCTGAAGCCATATGTGCCACTGGGCATAACAAGAACTGATATACATGTGTATATATTTATATATGTAGTATTCTAAATGTTATCCCAAAAAAACAAACCATTTAGAAAACCAGCTAATTAAAGCTCTTGTATCATTTGCCTTGGCAGTAAAGACTGGCCATGGATGAGGAGACAGTTGTAAAGCTGGAGTCTGAAATTGAGGAGGAAAGTCAAGCTGAATATGTCTCAGAAAATAAAGACTGTAAGTTTTGTTGTATTTTTTATGTGCCTAATGACGTACTCACTGAATCGTTTGTTAGCTATGACAAATTAAAAAATATTCATGTAAAAAAAATTATTTCATGTTGCTCATTAACATTATTCTTTAATGTCCCTTTGTAGGTTCTGAGGCCCTATTGTGGGGAAAACAAGAATAGACCCACTGCCTTCCCAACAGGCATGTCGTAAGAGTCGACTAATTGTGGACTTCCTTCAGAGTGCATCTGCCAGAGCGGTAAGGAACAACCAGCTGCACACAAATGAGCCAGTAAAATGGATGTACATGCACAACTGAGGCCCTGGCACAAAGCCAAAGTCAAATATTGATGAACAACCAGGATTTTCTGCTGGGACTTACAGCCAGTGAACAAAGAAGAAGAAGAAGATTATTTTATGAGTCATACGTGTGTCTTTGAGATTGTGAATGCCGTTTCACAATTCTGATATACCGGAGGTTGCAGTCAGCTGCAGGGGATTTGGTAGCAGATAGTTTTGCTTTTTTGACTACTTGTTTATTGATCAGCATCTCCTGTGCATCTATTCCAGTATGGGTTATAAAGAATACAGTGGGTTTGAAATCTTCACTCGTGCCCCATGGTGTCTCTTGTAATTATGATATAATGGGCCATATTTCATTTTTTTGGGACTATTAATGTTGGGGCAGTCCTCTTAATCATGCTCAGAAAGTTTCTTCGTTGAATCACAACCACATGCAGCCGAGTAGGCAAAGCCCTGTTCGATTGAGGTGCAAAAACAACCAGTGGCAATAGCTAGGTGTCTCGTAAACATGTAATTGTAGAAATGCCAGTTAAGGGGGAACACACACTTGAGGACTGAAACCTACTGGAAGTGCTTGGTTTGCAGCTGTCTGGGGTGAAAGACTTGAAGCTTTGAGGTGGGTCGGGCTGCTCTAGGTTTGCAGCTCCCTTGGGTGAAAGGCTTGAAGCTCTGTTGGGTCGGGCTGCTCTAGGTTTGCAGCTCCCTGGGGTGAAAGGCTTGAAGCTCTGAGGTGGGTCGGGCTGCTCTAGGTTTGCAGCTCCCTGGGGTGAAAGGCTAGAAGCTTTGAGGTGGGTCGAGCTGCTCTAGGTTTGCAGCTCTCTGGGGTGAAAGGCTTGAAGCTCTGAGGTGGGTCGGGCTGCTCTAGGTTTGCAGCTCCCTGGGGTGAAAGACTTAAAGCTTTGAGGTGGGTCGGGCTGCTCTAGGTTTGCAGCTCCCTTGGGTGAAAGGCTTGAAGCTCTGTTGGGTCGGGCTGCTCTAGGTTTGCAGCTTCCTGGGGTGAAAGACTTAAAGCTTTGAGGTGGGTCGGGCTGCTCTAGGTTCCCCGCAGCATTTGCAAGTTTGTCTGCCTTTTCATATCCATGTATTTGTTGTAAATATGGATTATGTCCCACAGGAGCAGAAACCATTGCCTCGATGGAATTACAAACGAGCTGATTGGGATACATTTGCTTTGCTGACAGACGAGTACTGTATACACATAAACACACGATATGGCAACATGAAGATAATAGTAGAAAGTCTAAACAAAGCAATACTGCAGGCAGCATATGAGTGCATTCCAAGAGGTGCGAGAAAAAATTACAAACCATACTGGACCAAAGAACTGCAGGTCCTGGAGAAAAAAGTCGAAGAGGCCAGGAAGACAGCAGAGAGAGAGAACAAACAACTGAAGCAAACATTTTCCTGAAAGCCATCTCAGCAAAATACAAAAGAACACTTAATCAAACAACTAGAAATACCTGGCAAGAAAAAACAGAAAGCCTTAACTTGGGTAAAGATGGAAATTAGTAAAAGCCATGAACAGTGAAGGGCCTAGTAACAAAAAAATAACTATTAAACAGGGTAACAACATACCAACAGGAAAAAAGGCTGCAAATACACTGATGGAATACTATGCTAGTGCAAACCACATTGACATCACAACAGAACACAAAAAAGCAATGAAAGAGCAACGGACAAATAACACAGAGAAATCAGAATTTATGAAAGAAAATCTGAATATGGAAGAGCTGGAGCGGGCAGTGAGTTCCCTGAAAAAGAAAAAATCACCAGGGAAGGATGAGATCACAAATGAAATGATAATAGGACTGGGTACTAAGGCAAAAAAGCTATTACTAGCAGTCTTTAACTGCAGCTGGAAGAGAGGAATAGTCCCTCAGGCATGGAAGGAAGCTATACTTATACCAGTCAAGAAGAAAGGAAAAGACCCGGCAGAACCAAATGCATATAAACCAATCAGCTTACTTAGCTGTGTAGGGAAATTGATGGAACACATTATAAATAATAGATTAATGGGGCATCTAAAAGAAAAGCACCTACTAACTCCACAACAGGCAGGATTTAGAAAGTACAGATCCACCGAAGACCAAATAACATATATAGCCCAGGAAATAGAGGATGCCTTTCAATAGAAAAAGAAAACACTAGCAGTGTGGGTAGACTTAGAAAAAGCATTTGATAAAGTGTGGAAGGAGGGACTCAAAGTAAAACTACAAAAAAATGCATGTTTGTGGGAAAATGTATAACTGGATCAGTCCAAACCTTAAGAATAGAACTGCCAGAACAAAAGTACAAGGACAAACTAGCAAAAAAATGTTGTTAGAACAAGGTGTACCCCAAGGGGGGAGTATTGTCACCAACATTGTTCTTAGCATATATAAATTATATTACAAGTAATTTTCCAACCAGAGTACACACCTCATTCTTTGCAGACGACTTAGCTATATGGACTAGCGAAGAACATATTAGTGTAGCCAACAATAGAATGCAGCAAGCCTTGTCAGTGTTAGAGGAATGGTCAAAAACATGGCTAGTGAATATCAGTGAAGAGAAAACAACATGTACTGTGTTCTCCCTCTCAAATAAAAAGCCAGTTAAGCTATTGGAAAATGGAAAAATACTGTTTCAAGAGAACAATCCAAAATGCCTAGGTGTCACATTTGATTGCCGCCTGACATGGAAGACGCAGGTAGAAGCAAGTCGAACAAGAGCAAGGCAAAGAATGGCAATGATGAAAAAACTTGCTGGCACAACATGGGGAGCTGATGAGAAAGTTCTCAAGAAACTATACACTGGACGAGTAAGGCCTGTCCTTGAATATAGTATTGCAGCTTGGGCAACAGTAGCAGAGTCAAACTATATCAAAATAAGTGGAGTCCAAAATCAAGGAATGCGGATTATAACTGGGGCCATGAAAACGACGCCTAATAATGAACTAGAAAAGGTCACAGGTCTGCAACCAATGGAGGATAGGAGAGACAGCAGAGCCCAGCAACAAGCAAAAAAATTTAGAAGGCTGACAGATCACCCCATGTATCAAAGGTTTAATCATCTGGGAAGGGGAAGACTAAAGCGAAAAAATGTTGTAGAGACAGCAAAAACTAAAATCAGGGAAGATCCTGTACTTAACTTATCAGTATCCAAACCCGTCCACATTACATATACGCTCCCTGCTTGGAGACAGCAGCATCTGCCTGAATTGATAGAAAATATTCCTGGTATTGAGAAAAAGAACACTCAGAATGAAACAGAAAGAAGGAAAATCACATTAAACTACTTAGAAGAACAATACCCAAGTAACACCTGGACTCATGCATATACAGACGGATCAGCAAAAAAATTCAACAGAAAATGGAGGTGGGGAAATCGTCCTCAATCTAAAAAATGGATCAAAGAAAACACAGTCGATTGCAACCGGAAAGTTCTCGAATAATTTTAGAGCAGAGGCAGAGGCCCTGAGAACTGCAGCAGAAATGCTTCTGTCAGAGAAAAACAAAGAGGAATACATAGCTATTTTCACAGATGCAAAGTCAGTTGTCTCAGGACTGAAGAGCAAAAATGATATAGAACTAGCAGACCTTAGAGCTGCACTCCATGGACTGAGTCAGAAATCAAAAAGAGTCATAATACAATGAATTCCATCCCATTGCAACATACCTGGAAATAAAGAGGCTGACCGATTGGCAAAGGAAGGTGGAAGACTACCACAGCCTGATATAGACATAACATATGATGAGGCCAAGAGGTTTATAAGAAGCACATATAGAATCAAATGGGATTCTGAACATCCAGGCTACAAGAAGGATTGTGCATACTACCAACTTGGCCGAAGAGAACAAGTAGTGATCTTTAGACTCCGCACAGGGCATAATAGGCGGAAACACCACTTGTTCAATAAACTAAAATAGGAGACAACTATGATTGTAACTGTGGAAAGGGTAAAATGATGGCTAAACACTTGCTGCAAGAGTGTCCAGTATATGCAGAACAGAGGAAATTATTCTGGCTAACACCCGCAACCTTCGAGGATAAACTGTGTGGAGATGTCAACAACCTCAAGTTGACTGCTGATTTCTTCAAATATATCCACACTGACACCTGAAGGTATAAGTAGAATAAAACTCCGGGATTCTCTGAGCTGATAGTCTCTAGAGATGCAGAGCTCGTAAATCAAGTAAAACTATAGTGGATGAGGAAGTCCACTGCAGTAAAAGTCTAACATGCAAAAGAAGCAAAGTACTCATTTTGTGGTGTAGATAAATTAAATCCTAGGTCTGCAGGCTGCATACTGTCGGCTACAAAAGAGATAGCCCATGATGTATGAGATGTTCAATATATGGAAGTGAGGTTAAACAGTCATGAGCAGGACGTGACGATTCCTTGGGTGAGCCCAATAACAGAGCACCATGTACTAGCTCTGCATTTGTGGAAGCCTCCTTGGATGGCGGGGAATGCTCATGTTCTGTCCCTGCCTTCTCTTGAGGGCTGATCAGCATTATGTGGCTTTTCTGGACTAGCCTGATTGGGGCACCACCTGTGACTTTGGAAATAAAGATGACCACACACAATGAGACTGCCATGTCCTAACCGGGAAGGCTAACCCGGTCAACAAATGCCCGCAGAAGTTGGATGTGTTGGCCAAAAGGTGCAAATATCGCAGCCATGCTGTAAACGGACACAACGCAATTACATCTTCGGATGAACGCAGAAGAAGAAGAAGAATATCCATGTTTTTCGAGTGTCATTTAGTTAAGAGAACAATAAAAAACTACTGAATGTTAAAAACACTTAATAAGACCACACAGCAGCCAAAATATGCTTGGTTTATGGCCAAGGACATTCAGTATTGCTGGAGTAGAAATAGAAAAAAGTTGGCTGATCTACTATTGAAAATACTGGATGGAAAAAATTCAGGAGAAATCTTCTTCTTCATCTTCTTAGCATTCATCAGTTGTAAACTCTAATGGAAGATTCTGGTTGTTTGTCCACTTCTGGAATTTGGTCTTGTTCCCGAGTTTGTCTTTTGCATGCACATCCATCTTAGAGATCTGGCTTATTTTTATGCAGACTGTTGGTTACTCACCTCAGGCAGATGCACTCCGACTTTGAAAGAAACACCCTAATGCTTTTTACAACATGCTTATTGTGGGGGGGGGGGGGGCAGTGGATCTATTCCCCAGCTCTCTTCCCCCAAAGTAGTGACCTAAAACCCAGACAAGAAGTCTCATGGGAAGTAAAAGCAGATATCCAGGGAGCAAATGTAGACACACTGAGGCATGTAAGGGTGGTAGGGTTCAGATATGATACTGAGAATAAAGGATTGTGTAGTGGCATGATGGTCTGACTTTAACAGTGGTCATCAGTGTGTATGTCCTGATAAGAATAATGTGTGTATAGTTAATTTACTGAGTCTATTAATTGAATTATGTGAAAGTAAGAATTTGTAAATCATACTTTCAACTGTCTTGAAAATAAATTTTATAGTTCGTTTTATGTTTCTAAAATATGTCTGTCTGTCGTCTTTCCCTGCCTAATGCTGTTAAATGTTGCAGGCACAGATGATGATCAGTTTTTGGGATAGTGCATGGTCGTTAGCTTGCTGCCTGGTAATATTGTTGAGTTTCAGCTTGTTGTTAACTCAGTCAATCCATCTTTTTTTCTCTGCCTCTTCATATTTCCATTCTCATGTTGTGTCTCCTGCAACCGGTGACATGAGTCCATTCTAATGAGGTGGCCAAACCATTTCAGCTTTTTTTTTTTTTCAATAAATTTAATTACAGATGTTTTTCCCACCATTCTAATGATATTTTCATTTATTTTATGGTCTCTTCTTTTGATGCTGACTGCTTTTCTCAAACATATCATTTTTGTTGGTTTCCGCTATTATTCTTTCCTAGGTGCCAAGGTTTGTCATTGGTAACACAATGTTGGTAAAAAACATTGTGTTTATATTGTCTTTTAGTTTTGTGTGTAATAATGTTGAATGTTTCACTATTGGGGATAGTTGATAGGTTACACTGTTGGATTCTGGACTCAGTCTCTCTGTCCAGTCTGCCCTTTGTTGTGAAAATTGTTGTCTGATTATGTTTCTATACAGTGTTGAATTATTTGTTACAGTTTACTGTGATTCAGTTAATTATTTAAAAAAAAAATGAAATCTGATTTCAGCTATTGATGGGTTCAGGCAGTTTGTTAAAGAACAGTTGCATAACATGTGCGGGTACGTATGATACAATATATTTAGGAAATGTATTCTATAATTACAAAGGTCAGATTTTTAAGAGCATGCATCTTTCCCATTGCAACATACGCCTGTGAGACCTGGACACTTACTAAACAAGCGGAACAGCGCATAAATGCATTTGAATATAAATGTTACAGACAGGTTCTAAGAATATCTTGGGTAAAGAAAAGAACAAATGCATCCATACTTCAAGAGCTGAATATTGAAGAGGGTTGGCTAGTAAAGACAATAAAACAAAGAAAATTGAAATATTTTGGTCACTTGAAACGTCATGGAAGTCTAGAGAGAACAATAATGGAGGGGTATATGCCTGGGAAGAGAGGAAGAGGAAGGCCAAGGAGAAGATGGGTGCAGGATGTGGCAGATGATCTCCAGATGGGTGTATCAGACGCAGGACATCTTGCTCAGGATAGGAAGGTTTTCCGGAGGGTTGTTATGGCAGTGAGGTTCCGCGAGGGACATGCTACTGAATGAATGAATTCTATAATTGTCTGAGCTGCTTAGATGTTGTTTTGAGATGAGTGTTGAGAACATCTTGGACAGATTAAAAGTGCATTGAAGATGTCTCAGAACAAATTAATTGATAAGAAAACTGTAATGTGCATCAGAAGAGAAACTATCATCACCATGTGCTGTGATTCCTATGCTCGCCTATAGCACAGTGGTACATCTTATATACTTACTTGGTTGCTCCTCTTTTACCTTGAGGTGTAGAGGTTTGCCAGAGAGATTGCCAGACGTCTCTATCAGAGGTTTTCTTTCTGGCTTTGTTCCATTCCTGTCCTCTATCATCCAGGGACTGTTGGATGTTGTCTTCCCAGAGGATCCTGGGTCACCCTAGAGGTCTGGTTCCCTGGTTCTTAGCCTCCCTTGCTTGCCATAGGGTCCGATTTTCTTCCATTCTGCATACATGTCCAAACCATTGTGACTGGGACTTATCCACTTGAGTTTGTAAGGCCTGGTTTCAAGATATTGACATATTGTCTGATTGTGAACTTTGTCACTTGGACTGGATTTCTCAGATATCATATTTCTGAGGCCTGAAGCTGGTTTCTGTGAGCTGTTGACATTGTCCATGACTCACACCCGTAGGTCGGGACAGTGGTACACCACCGCCTGTAACGATGGAAAGGTGCCAACAGCTACCATATGCCAAATGCGACAGTGGTGTGAAAAGGAACATTCTTACAAATAATTTATGACCTGCATATTCTGAAATTAAATGTGTCAGCAAATTGAATTAACGTGTCATTTTTTTTTCTCCCTTTCTAGAAAAAAAGGATCTCCAGAATCTTCACCTCAACCATCATCGTCAGCCTCATCTTCTAGTCAAGATTTTCTGGAAAACAGAACAGCATTTATACCTTCAGAGACAGGACAGGAGGACAGCGAGGACATATATGACTTTATACATGCAGATCGGGGTCTTGCACTTATAATCAACAATGAGGACTTCAGTCGAAGTAAAAATTTTGGATCAAGACCTGGATCATCTTACGATGAGGTGTCTCTCTATCGGACTTTCAAGAAGTTGGGCTTCAGGGTCTTGGTTAAAAGGAATTTGACTGCCAGGCAGATGGTGGAAGTGCTAAAATTAGGTAGGTAATTTTACTTTGTACTGTACATTGATTGTCAACAGTGATAGTAATTCCAAAATAACTAACTGTGGAACTGAGCAATCATATCTCTTCTTTAAATCTTTGTAATATACTAGACACATCATCATCATCAGGTGCTTTGCCGACTGGCGTGGGCGATCATGCCTCTCCATAATCTGCAATCTCCTGCAGCATGTATCAGTTTGTGTGCCGACACACCTCCATGCCATGCAACAAGACTGTCAAGCATCTTCTCTCGTTGTCTTACTCTATCTCTCCTTCCACATATCTTTCCAGTGGTCACAACATGTTCTATTTTCCCTCTTCTCATAACATGGCCAAAAAATGATGACTGTCTCCTTCTGATGTCTGTGATAAGTTGTCTTCGGGCTCCCGCCTCTTTCAAAACCTCTTGGTTGCTCTTTTTGGCTGTCCAAGGTATTCTAAGCATTCTTCTGTAAAACCACATCTCCGAGGCCTCCAGAAATTGTTTGGCTTGCCTACTGATTGTCCAGGATTCACAGCCATATGTTAAAACTGGATGTATGTAGCAAGCAAGAATTCTTTTTCTAACTCTCAGGGACAAGGATATATTGCACAAGATGTTTTTCATTTTATAAAATGCAGTTTTTGCCTGTCCTATTCTATTTCTTATCTCAGTTATGCATCTTCCATCTGATGTTATCCATGTGCCCAGATACTTAAATTTCTGTACTTGTCCTAAAATAACACCATCAACTTCTATTACACACTTAGGAATAATTTGTTTCTTTGATACCACCATTACTTCCGTCTTCCCATTATTCAAACTGAAGCCCATTCTTCCACTTTCTAACACCACAATGTCTATCATTTCCTGTAGTTCTTTCTGACTTGTTGCTATCAAGACTGTGTCATCAGCATAACGTAAATTGTTTATATTGTGCCCACCAACCACAATTCCGGGCATACCAATTAAAGCTCTCATTATATATTCACTGTATATTGAAAACAAATCAGGTGACAGTACACATCCTTGTCCTACGCCCCTCTTTATGCTTTGAAATCTACCTAAACAGTTGTTAATTCTTATAGCTGCTGTTTGCTGCCAGTACATATTCTTTATTATACACAGCATGAAAAATACACAAACGCTAATAAGGAAGTTAAGAGGCAAATAAGATCAGATAAAAAGAAATATTTAGATGAACTAGCTTAAGAAGTGGAGACAGCAGCAGCAAAAGGAAAACCCAGAGACCTGTAAAGCACCAATTAGTAGGTAAATATAGTCAGCCGACTGGATCAATCAGAAATAGTTGGGGAAAAGTTCTTAAATGGACAGATAAGCTGAATACTTTGATGAACTTCTGAAGAGACTAGCCCCAAATGTCTCTTCAGATGTCCAACCTTTAGGAATGAACCGGGTATCAGCTGTGAAATAAAATCTAAAGAGTAAATTAGGAAAGCTATCGTCTCTTGAAGGAAGGGAAGGCTGCAGGTCCAGGTGGTATCCCAGCAGGTTTTTAAGGCCAGTACAAAGAATTCAACAGAATTGCAACAGAAACTTTTCAGTAAAGTGTGGGAGACTGAAGAAGTACCAGCAGATTGGAGATAAGGATGTCTTATGGAACTACCCACAAATTATTATTTGATTATATTAATTTGAATAAAAAGTGTTATAGATAAATAGCTAGGGCATGAACAGGTAGGTTTTCATCCAAACAGATCCTGTACATATATAGTAATAGAGCAAAAGTATTGAATTGAGCACTTTTTATTGGATTCATAGACTATGAAAATGCCTTTGGTAGCAGTGATAGGGAATCTCTCTGTAAATTTATGAGGGAGTAATGGATCCCATCCAAATAGGTGTTCAACTCCACGCCTTGAAGTAGGATACTGTTAAGAGAAACCACATTACTATTTGCCTGATTTGTTCTCATTATCTTTGTCTTTCCCTGATGGATTTTCAGACCTAGCTGTTGTGATCTCGCTTCAAGTGTATTTATCTTGCATCTGATTCCATGAATGGGACCACAGAGACATATAATCAGCAAAGTCCAGGTTATCAAGCTGTTTTGTAGGGTCCACTGGATTCCATTCTTGGATAAAGTAGATACAGATGGGTAAAAACTGAAAGAGATATTGAAATACAAATACAAAAGGCAAGAGGAGCTTTCAAAGCACTAAGGAATTTGTGGAGTTCAAAAGAAATTGAAACTAATAGTGAACGTAAAATTTTTAATTCTGATGTCAAATCGGTACTGTTGTATGGAGCTGAAACATGGAGAAAAACTTTGGAAATTATAAACTACAAAGATTCATTAACTGGTGCCTGCGTAGAATAGAGGGAATTAAATGATGGGATAAAATCACTAAGTAGAGCTTTGGGAGAGAGAGAGCTAAACAACTTCAAGTGGACAAGGGGTGAAGAAAAAGAAAAGTTGCATAGGACACAGGTTGAGAAAACCTGAGAACAATATAACTTGAATGTCTTTGCACTGGAACCCACAGGGGCATAGAAATAAAAGAAGATAAAAAACGCATGAAGAAGGTAGCCAGAGAGTGAAGTTAAAAAGATGGGTAGGACATGGGGAAAGCTGTTTGCAATAGCAAAGGATAGAACGATTTGGCATGAGCTGGCTGAGGACCTTTGCTCCATTGGGGACTAGAAAGGCAGAAGAAAAAGAATGGATCCCTGAGAAAAATATTAACTTAGTAAAGTCAACATATTAAGACTTCTTCTTCTTCTTCGCGTTCACCAGCTGTACACTCTGGCGGAAAGTTCTGGTTGCTCGTCCACTACTGAACTGTAGTCCTGCTCCAGAACCTGAGTGTTGCGTGTGCATCAGTTTTACAGATCTCATTCTCTTGAATACAGACTGTTGGTTCCTTGCCTCTCCGGCAGATGCACTCCGACTTCAAAGGAAGCTCCCCAGTTAGTCGACTCTTACGACATGCCTTTGGGGAGGCAGTGGGTCTATTCTTGTTTTCCCCACAATGGGACCCCGGAACCCACACGGGGGTATATTAGGACTTGAAAAGTACATTCTTCATGAGGGAAAACTAACAAATACGTTTGAAATAAGAAAGGTTTGTGACAAAAATACCTCATCTCCTCTTCCTTTTTACTGGCAATAGATTGAATTATGAAGACATCACCAGGATGAATTCAGTTGACCCCTGCAAAACAGCTTGTGCATCTGGACTTCGTTGATGGCCTTTCTGTCCTATTCTATTCACGAAATCACATGCAAGATAAATTAAACATACTCGATGAGAGATCACAAAAATGAGGTCTAAGAATCCAGCTCGTTGAGGGTCTGTGCTCCATTGGGGGATGAAGGGCAGAAGAGGAGAAAGACTTACTTCCCAAAGACCTGCTTCCCAGTTTTAAAAAAGTGACATGTGCCTCTATGTTAGTCCAGCCTCAATAAAAGATACCAGAGTGTGTTTGGAATACATGGGCATTCATTATGACGTTGACCACATTACTTCCTGTATGGGTTCCTGGGCCCGATTGTGGGGAAAACAAGAATAGACCCACTGCCTGCCCAAAAAGGCATGTCGTAAAAGTCGACTAAGTGGCAGCTTTCTTCGAAATTGGAGTACATCTGCCTGAGATGCAAAAAATCAAGTCTGCATGCAGATGAATCAAGTCTGTGAAACGGATGTGCACGCAAAACTCAGTTTCTGGAACAGGACTAGAGTCCAGAAGTCAATGTCATTTTTTGAAAAAAGGTCTGGCTCCGCCTGGACACGAACCCACGACCTTTCGATCCGCAGCCGCCAGCGCCACGGCGACTCCCTCTTGTATCCTATTGTTGATTTAAATTTTCGGTTTTTTTTCATTGAAGGGTGTATCCTGTATACTACTTTTTATTTGAATATTTTTTATTTGTGTGTTTGGTAAAAGATGAGCATGTGTTACATACTGCTTTTCATTTAAATGTGCTTTCTTTTGTTTTACCATAAAATTTGAGCATGCCTAGTATACTACTTCTTTTGTGTTTATACTATTGTTTTTCTTGTTCTTTTTTCTCAGTAAAGGATGAGTATGATCACGCAAATGCAGATTGTTTTGTGTGTTGTATCCTAACACATGGCGATGAGACAATCTCTCGTGAGGCTAATGAAAAACGAGGCCTAATGAGACAGGATTTACTGTTTGGTGTCGATGGGGAGGCCATACCTACCAGGACTGTTGTGTCGTTTTTCAACGATAAATACTGTCCAAAATTGAAGGGAAAGCCACGCTTATTTTTCCTACAGGTATTGATAATAATCTGTATGTCTTGTCCGGTAATTAACTCCTAACTGTCAGTCCCAAGCAGTTATTACTTTAACCATTTCTGTCCCAAGGAGTAGACCTAAAGAGCAATCTTTTGCTTCTTCTTTTTCTTCACATTCTCCAGCCATAAACTCTGGTGGAAAGTTCTGGTTGTTCGTCCACCTCAGATTATGAGGGGACTGGTGAAGTCCTCACATGCACTACTCTGTTTGCAACCCTTCATGACAAACTATGGGGAACTGTTCAAGTCCTCAAGTGTACTCCATCCACTTGTAACCCTTCATGACAAACTATGGGAGACTGTTGAAGTCCTCAAGTGTACCTTATCCACTTGTAACCCTTCATGACAGACTATGGGGAAGGAAAGGTGAAATCCTGAAGTAACTGCCCTATTTGCAACCTTTCATGATAAACTGTGGGGAACTGGTGAAGTCTTAAAAGTGCACTTTCCTGTTTGCAAACCTTCATGATAAACTGTGGGGGACTGGTGATGTCCTCAAGTGTACTATCCTCTTTGCACTTTTTGGTCTTCTTGATAGGTACCTATGAACATGTGATGCATTCCTTAGGACTGAAAGAGTGCACTGCCCTGTTTGCAATTCTTCATGACAAACTATAGGGGAGGGACTGGTTAAACCCTGAAGTATACTGTCTGTTTGTGACCTTTCATGATAAACTGTGGGGGACTGGTGAAGTCTTGAAATGCACTACCCTGTTTGCAACCCTTCATGACAAACTGTGGGAGACTGGTGAAGACCTGAGGTGCACTTCCCTGTTTGCAACCCTTCATGACAAACTGTGGGGGACTGGTGATGTCCTCAAGTGCACTTCCCTGTTTGCAACCATTCATGACAAACTGTGGGAGACTGGTGATGTCCTCAAGTGTACTTCCCTGTTTGCAACCCTTCATGACAAACTGTGCGAGACTGGTGAAGACCTGAGGTGCACTTCCCTGTTTGCAACCCTTCATGACAAACTGTGGGAGACTGGTGAAGACCTGAGGTGCACTTCCCTGTTTGCAACCCTTCATGACAAACTGTGGGAGACTGGTGATGTCCTCAAGTGCACTTCCCTGTTTGCAACCATTCATGACAAACTGTGGGAGACTGGTGATGTCCTCAAGTGCACTACCCTGTTTGCAACCCTTCATGACAAACTGTGCGAGACTGGTGAAGACCTGAGGTGCACTTCCCTGTTTACAACCCTTCATGACAAACTTTGGGGGACTGGTGAAGACCTGAGGTGCACTTCCCTGTTTGCAACCCTTCATGACAAACTGTGGGAGACTGGTGATGTCCTCAAGTGCACTACCCTGTTTGCAACCCTTCATGACAAACTGTGCGAGACTGGTGAAGACCTGAGGTGCACTTCCCTGTTTACAACCCTTCATGACAAACTTTGGGGGACTGGTGAAGACCTGAGGTGCACTTCCCTGTTTGCAATCCTTCATGACAAACTGTGGGAGACTGGTGATGTCCTCAAGTGCACTTCCCTGTTTGCAACCCTTCATGACAAACTGTGGGAGACTGGTGATGTCCTCAAGTGTACTTCCCTGTTTGCAACCCTTCATGACAAACTGTGGGGGACTGGTGATGTCCTCAAGTGTACTTCCCTGTTTGCAACCCTTCATGACAAACTGTGTGAGACAGGTGAAGACCTGAAGTGCACTTCCCTGTTTGTGACCCTTGCTGTAATAAATGCCAAGAAAACATTGATCGCTGAAGAAGAAAAAGAAAAATATCTAGCCAGGTGAGTAAGGTGCTATAATTTAGAATTTTGGTTTTGTTACAGCAGCAAGAAAAACAGTCCCTTTTAATAACAACATGTCACCTGTAGTAACATTTATAGCCTAGAGTTATGAACACCTATTCGTGAAACAATCTGTATTTGTATATTTAATTTTGCAGGCTTGCAGAGGGAGTAAGTATGACCATGGCATCGATATTCAGGTGTCGGGGTCTACACACACTACCAGGACAGTAGGTGGGAAAAACCGAGATGGAATCGACAAAGGAAGTCCTGTGGATCAGACTGATGCTCGTACCATCACACGCAAGAATTCCTTTTCAAGCAGTGTAGATCCTCCTGAATACCCTAAGAATACTTTGGACAGCACAGATGCCAAACCAGAGGCAAACGTGGCACGGGGAAACCTCAGTCTTCCAGCTGCGGGTGCCTCTGGTGATAATGCTGATAGATCTCCAGCAAGAGAGGTTCCTGCCTGCCCTACTCCACTGTATAAGGACTGTTTGGTCATGTATGCCACTCCTCCAGGTGAGTAGGTTCATTAATGAAAGAATAGTACCGTGAAAATTTAATATTTATGGGTTTGTCTAGAGATAAAACAGATCAAATAGTTCAGACCAGACTACCAGATTACCACAGAGAGCCCAGTCCTGATGAAAACAAAGCTAGAGGTTGTCTGCACTGTGTATGTAAGCCAGGGATAGATGGAATATCCAAGATTATATTTTTCTTCTTCTTAGGGTTCATCTTTTTTTCCATCAATCCAATTATTTCCCATTTCACTGCTCATTTTGCGATTCTTTGACAGCTTCATCTCATCTGAAAATGTGCTCTGTAAATCACCATCTCTCTCTCTCTCTCTTTTTTTAAATAACTGTTGACGCTATTGTTTTGCTAGACATTTCTCTGATTTCGTCACCTGCCTTCATCCCATTTAATGCTTGTCAGTATTCTCAGGCATTTGTTTTCAAATATATCAGGCTTTCTCTCACCCCTCTCTCCCCACACACACACACACACACACCTATCCCCCCCCCCCCCCCCCAAACTGTCTTTGGTGGTTCTCTAACTATCACTGGCATGTTTCAGAATGGAAATAACATAATTGAAAAAAAAGGAGTTTTAGTTTTAAACTGTTAAAATTATTTTCAGTATATTGTTGAGGCTTTTTATTGTTCTTCTGCGTTCATCTGAAGAAGTAACAGTGTTGTGCCCTTTTACAGCATGGCTGCGATATTTGGGCCTTTCGGCAGATACATCTGACTTTTGCAGGAATTAGTTGACCTGGTTAGCCTTCCCAGTTAGTTTCGTGGGACATTGCAGTCTCATTGTTGTGTGGTCATCTTTGTTTCCTAGGTCACAGGTGGTGCCTCACGTCAGACCAGTCCAGAAAAGCCATGAAATGCTGGTCAGCCCTCAAGAGGAGGCAGAACATGAGCTTTTCTTGCCATTAAAGGAGACTTCCATAAATGCAGAGCCAATACATGGTGTGGTGCTCTGGTGCTGGAATCACCCAAGGATAGAGTCGTGCACCATATGCTTGAATGAAGAAGATTGTTTTCTTCTTGTTCACCAATTATTATCACCACCACCACTATCATCATCACAACCATCATCTTTATCATCACCACTGCCAAAGTAAAGCTGCTGGAAATTTTCATTCCTATAAACTGGAGGTGACAGGTTCAATTCCCGGCACGGTAACTATAGCTTTCGATTTTTATGTTGTCTAGTGTGTTTCTTCTATCTTTCTACTTCTTTCTATGAGTGCCGTTCACACTACTTTCTGTTACTTGATTAATTCATAATATTTAACGGCCTCAAATGGTTCCCCCCTCTGTTTATTATATAGAATGACGTATTCACGGAACTACCAATCAAATACCTTTTCTTAATGTTTGTGTATTCTAGACAAAGCAATAAGGTCTTACTGTGTTCGTAAATTGTTGCTGTGATTGTTATTCGACATTTGCTTCGTTAATATAAATTTCTGTAACCTATGGTGCCATTTCAATGGGTTGAAATGAATTCTGTCCGTATTCCATAGTCGTGGATTTCAAGCTGTACGATAGACATGGGCCAATGAGACACCTTTTTTTTTGGGGGTGCCGAGTTGACCATGTATCTTAGTGCACTTGTATTCATGGCGAGGCGCAGACGCCGTCTGGAGGTGACAGGTTCAATTCCCGGCACGGTAACTATAGCTTTCGATTTTTATGTTGTCTAGTGTGTTCTTCTATCTTTCTATTTCTTTCTATGAGTGCCGTTCACAATACTTTCTGTTACTTGATTAATTCATAATATTTAACGGCCTCAAATGGTTTCCCCCCTCTGTTTATTTATAGGAATGACTTATACACACCGGAACCTACCAATCAAATACCTTTCTTAAATGTTTGTGTATTCTAGACAAAGCAATAAGGTCTTACTGTGTTCGTAAATTGTTGCTGTGATTGTTATTCGACATTTGCTTCGTTAATATAAATTTCTGTAACCTATGGTGCCATTTCAATGGGTTGAAATGAATTCTGTCCGTATTCCATAGTCGTGGATTTCAAGCTGTACGATAGACATGGCCAATGAGACACCTTTTTTTTTTGGGGGTGCCGAGTTGACCATGTATCTTAGTGCACTTGTATTCATGGCGAGGCGCAGACGCCGTCTGGAGGTGACAGGTTCAATTCCCGGCACGGTAACTATAGCTTTCGATTTTTATGTTGTCTAGTGTGTTTCTTCTATCTTTCTACTTCTTTCTATGAGTGCCGTTCACACTACTTTCTGTTACTTGATTAATTCATAATATTTAACGGCCTCAAATGGTTCCCCCCTCTGTTTATTTATAGGAATGACGTATACACACCGGAACCTACCAATCAAATACCTTTCTTAAATGTTTGTGTATTCTAGACAAAGCAATAAGGTCTTACTGTGTTCGTAAATTGTTGCTGTGATTGTTATTCGACATTTGCTTCGTTAATATAAATTTCTGTAACCTATGGTGCCATTTCAATGGGTTGAAATGAATTCTGTCCGTATTCCATAGTCGTGGATTTCAAGCTGTACGATAGACATGGCCAATGAGACACCTTTTTTTTTGGGGGTGCCGAGTTGACCATGTATCTTAGTGCACTTGTATTCATGGCGAGGCGCAGACGCCGTCTGGAGGTGACAGGTTCAATTCCCGGCACGGTAACTATAGCTTTCGATTTTTATGTTGTCTAGTGTGTTTCTTCTATCTTTCTACTTCTTTCTATGAGTGCCGTTCACACTACTTTCTGTTACTTGATTAATTCATAATATTTAACGGCCTCAAATGGTTCCCCCCTCTGTTTATTTATAGGAATGACGTATACACACCGGAACCTACCAATCAAATACAATACCTTTCTTAAATGTTTGTGTATTCTAGACAAAGCAATAAGGTCTTACTGTGTTCGTAAATTGTTGCTGTGATTGTTATTCGACATTTGCTTCGTTAATATAAATTTCTGTAACCTATGGTGCCATTTCAATGGGTTGAAATGAATTCTGTCCGTATTCCATAGTCGTGGATTTCAAGCTGTACGATAGACATGGCCAATGAGACACCTTTTTTTTTGGGGGTGCCGAGTTGACCATGTATCTTAGTGCACTTGTATTCATGGCGAGGCGCAGACGCCGTCTGGAGGTGACAGGTTCAATTCCCGGCACGGTAACTATAGCTTTCGATTTTTATGTTGTCTAGTGTGTTTCTTCTATCTTTCTACTTCTTTCTATGAGTGCCGTTCACACTACTTTCTGTTACTTGATTAATTGGAAATTTTCAACATCTGCTAGGAGAAAGGAGTGGAGCCTTAGGTATGGAGAGAAGCCATCACAATACCCATTCTAAAAAAAAACGGAAAAATTAAGACCCAGGCTTCAAGTTGCCAACCAGTCAGTCTCACAAGCTGTGTAGGAAAGAAATTGGAGAGAATTATCAATTCAAGACTGAAATGGCACTTAGAATTTGAGCAGATCTTGGTTTCAGGGCAGACTGGGTTTAGAGAATGTTACAGCATAGAAGACCAAGTCAACTACCTGTCACAAGCTGTAGAAGATGCCTTCCAAAAGAAGAAAAATGTCCTGGCAGTGTAGGTTGACTTCAAACAAGCTTTTGCCAAAGTGTGGAAAAATGGTCTCATTGCAAAACTGAAGAGAAGTGGAATCCGAGGAAACATGCTAAGATGGATTCAATCCTTCTTACACAACAGGAGAACTAGAATCACTCTTGATGGTCTGCAGAGCAGAAAAGTTTTGCTTCATCAAGGAGTACCACAGGGAGGAGTTATCTCTCCAACTCTCTTTCTTGTTTATATCAATGACCTGGTAAAAGACCTCCCTACAGGAGTGAAGGCTGCACTGTATGCAGGTGATTGGGCACTCTGGTGTACTGGTGAACACACTGCATTGGACAGTCTAATAATGCATCAGGCAACAGATCTCTTAATGACATAGGCAGAAAAATGTCATGTTGCGATCAACACAGACAAAACATTCACAACACTTTTCCTTCTTTTTTCCAGGGACAAAGCTACTAGTATTCACATAGAAACATCCTTGCTAAAGAAAGAAAGCTTTCCCACTTATCTTGAAGTTACATTCGATAAAAGGCTCACATCAAGCAGACATATAGAAAATGTAGAAGGGAAGGTCAGGAGATGACTAAGGCTACTTAGAAAACTGGCAGGTACAAGTTGGGGAGCGAATGTAAAAACCCTAAAGAAAGTTTATAATGGAGCGATAAGACCCCACTTGGAGTTTGGTGCAACAGCATGGTCATCAACTGCTAATTCATGTCTACAATCGTTAGATAGAGTGCAAAATCAAGCCCTTAGACTCATCACAGGATCCATGAAAACTTCACTGATCCTGGAGATGCAGAAAATAACTGCAATGCAAACATTGTCCCATAGAAGAGACACTAAAACTATGATCCAGATGGAGAATTTTAATAGCATACAGTCACATCCAATGACTGCAAAATTAGATGATCTGGCATTGGGGCGTCTCAAACTTAGCAGCTTTGTCCATCAGGGGGAAAAGACTTAGAAGACAGTATTAAGCAGATCTACCCATGAGAACAACACCGCTGAAAGCTACCCTATACCCTGTGCCTTAGGAGCAAGTCAGCGACAATGCAGATGACTTAATTAAGTCAGTGGACTCACAGCTAGAGATGAGTCCAGTGGCCTTCAAAAACAAACAGCCGCTCTTAACGTGATTTTAAAAACAACTATCCCGAACAGTTGTGGATACATGCTTATCCAGATGGATCAGCAACCAGTGTGGTTAAAAATGGGGGTGCTGGTGTGTTTATCACATACCCAGACAACCACCGCCACACAAAGTGTTTACCCACTGGTAAATTCGGTTCCAACTACACAGCAGAGATAGTAGCCCTAGAGCAGGCTACTGAAATGTTACACAACACGGGTTCTGACTGGGTGCTTCAAGCACTCAAGCGTGACAAACTCCCTCACCTGAGATCTGAACTTGGCAAGGTGGCTGCCCAAAAGCGTACTGTACTTCAGTGGGTGCCATCCCACTGGTATATCAGTAAATGAAACCGCAGATAAACTTGCTAAGAAAGGGGCAGAATGTGACCAGGGAGAGAATGCAGAAACATACTTTGAGAAGAAAAGGACCGTCCAATTTATCAGAAGTAAACAGTCAGGTCAGGATAGGATATAACAAACAAACAAGCAAACTTTATTTTCAAAGGGTTAAGAATTGGGCACGCAGGCCCGTCTAACATTCTGCCCTTCCACTCCGCTCCTTTCATACAGTTTTTCATTTGTACCTCATTTCATAGTTAATAATAATAACAATAATATTAATAATAATAATAAAAAGAGGAATGCAAAATTAAAAATTTAAGAAATATAGAGAAAAAAATGTACAATATCTAAGTCTAATTACACATGCTGGAATGTGTTCTAATTCATACTGACATTACTTGAACGTTTTAAAGAGTATAATAACAAGCCTATTACAAAAATGATGTAAGTCTTACAGGTTGCATAATATAAACATCATCAAAACCATTTAAATATTAGTTACAAACACTGGAATGCACTCGAATGGCATCTTCAGTTCTAAACAATAATAATAACCTTTAGTTTAAAGGAAAAAAGAAAATTATCAAGACATCGCATGGAAATACATCAAAGCCTTAACATGCTTTAATCTTTTAAGGGGGCATATAGTCTGTAGTGAGATAATATTCAAATAGTTTCCGATTGTATCTATAGGGGTTATTGATATTTTTTATTTCCGGTGGAAGGTTATTCCACAGCTGAGCTGCAGAGTACGCTTGTTTTGTATAGGTCTATTCTAGGTTTAGAGATATGCAAAATGTTAAGGCGTTTGCTATGTCTTCCATTGTATTTAAATAATGGCCAAAGGTAACATGGAGCATTTTTAGATATGATTTTATGAATAAGTTTAGCTTTATTGAATCTTAACAAGCAAATGCACAAGTTACGTCTAAGTAGTACACCTTTGTGCCAGTGTGGGCTATGTGTGCAGACTACAGAACATGTCCTGCAAGAGTGTCCCTTGTACAGCCCATTAAGAAGGAAACACTGGCCCATTGAGTGAATACTGCACTTAATGCTGTACGGAACTAAAAGGGAACTCCTAAAAACAGTCAATTTAATCACAAGAAAGCAAACACAAGAAGAATCATCCCCATGGTAGGTCAATATTCTACGCCTCAGGATAGGACATAACAAACTTAACAAGCATATGCATAAGCTACGTCTAAGTAGTTCACCATTGTGCCAGTGCGGACTGTTTGTGCAGATTACAGAACATGTCCATTATCATCACCACCACCACCATTATCATCATCAACACCATCACCACCACCATTATTGTCATCATCAACACTACTATCAGTTTCTTTTTTCCAGGCTGCTAAAAGTGCACATGGCCATGACCTCATATTTCCCTCTTCCCTTTAGGAACCATTATGATTGTTTCTGCAATAATCACCTATAGCAGATGCTGTTGCCCAAACCTGCCGCACAGTTCGATAGTCCCTAAGGACTGACAATTGCCTATATAAATAAACTGACAATTGCCTATATAAATCAACTGACAATTGCCTATATAAATCAACTTACAATTGCCTACATAAATAAACTGACAATTGCCTATATAAATAATTATCTATCATAACCAAGTATCACAAGACCCAACTAATTTACAGTCTTAATACTTTCAGGTCACTTTGCCTGGAGGAGGAAGAACGGTGCCTGGTTTGTGCAGAGCTTGTGTGATGTACTGAATGCTGACCACATTGACCAGATATCTCTGATGAAAGCTCTGGTTCGTGTGTCTTATCAAGTCGCCATCAACTACCAATCTGAGAACCCCTACAGACCTGACATGCATCAGAAGAAAGAGACCCCAGTCATTGAATCCATGTTGGTCAAAGATGTGTATTTTACCAAAAGGAAATAGTATTTCTTGATGTTATTCTAATGAAAAACAAATATGCAGGTATTGAATGTTTTTCGTAGCAGACAAGAAGTGTGCCTATAGTTTTTCAGTGTTCTTCTTCTTTTTTTAGTTCACTGGTTGTAACTTCCAGCAGAAAGTCCTGGTTGCTCATCCATCTGGACTTACTTTTGTACCAGGACATGAATTTTGCGTGTACATCCGTTTTACTGGCTTATTAGTATGCAGTTCTTGTTCCCCGCCTTTCAGGCATATGTACTCAGTTTTTCTACTACTTTTTGTCTCTTTTTCTAAGACTGTTATTCAGTATCTTTACTCATGTCCCCATGTGTTCCGTGGCCTTCATTTTTTGAGGTGGAAAAGGGTGGGAGGGGCGTCAGAGGAATGGACCAGCTCCCCCTTAATAAGCAAACTGTAAAAGGCAACGAATAAGGGATTTGTTGAAAAGAGATTACAGAACTGAAAGGCACAGATATCACAGTCTATCATTAAACCACAACACAGTGTGCCAGCCAGTTCTTATAAGGGTGAATACAGATGATGAAGAATTTACCATGTATTTCTGGTGACGACCAGGTTTTCTCACCGATTTGTATTTGATCTCAGCTTGATATCGTTTTTTCAAAATTAATTTTATTTAATTTGTTTGTAACTTGCATATTTTTATTTTTTAATTTTTTCTTTCTACTTGCGACCATAGCACTGGTAAAGTTTTTTGTTCTTTATGTATTTATTGAAGGATTGCCATTTGATTTTCTGTGAAACATGTAAAATGTCCTCTGCCCACTTTTGGCTTTTATGTAGACTTGCCATATTATCATGATACTTGTTCACTTAACTGACATGACTGTTTATAAAACACAACTAAATCTGTTTATGCTATTTTAGTTTTTTTGGGAGTGTGCATAGCTTCTTCATTTTTTGTTTGTTGCACATGCATATTGTTTTGTTTTGTTTTGAGTAACACATTTTTGCCATGATCACCTGTTCCAAATTTGTAGATCCATCTGGTCAGTTGTCACATATTTAACCCTCTATGTTCCCTGCTCCATTTTCATGATTTCAACACATTTTATCCCCCTTTAATTGCCAAATATTTAACCCTTTAAATTCTTTGGCTGGTCACAGATTCAATCCTTTCTGCCCTTGAATCATTTGCGACAAATTTGACCATTTCTTTCTCATGGTTAGTTGCCACATATTATTCCGTGACATGTTTAACTTTGTCCCATGGCCATTTGTCATTTATTCAACCATTTCTGTCCCATTTTCAGTTTTTTTTTTTATTGTATATTAATTGTCACACACTAAGGACCGATTGGTCTAAAAAAAAATTTAGTCTAACATTATGTGCCTGCTTCGCCACTGGCTTGAAAAGAATCCTTCATGCTGTCTAGGCTGCTCTAGTTGCAGTCAGAATTAAGAAAATTGATGTCTTTAGAAATTAAAAATGTATAAACCTGACACATGACAAATGCGTATACATTGTACTGTTATCAGTATTATTGGTTTTTAGCAGATTTGTATGATTATTATATTTTGTGTGTGGATATTTGTAAGGGGGTAGATGTTTACCTTTTCTTTGTTAGGAATTCAGTGAAAGAATTGCCATGGCAGTTTTCTTCCTCCCCTTCTCCCTGTTTGTTTACTTTCACATAATGAAATATGTCTTCTCTTTTAATTTATTTGATGAACAGCCAGCCTGTGGTTAATTTTGTCAGCATACAATTTTAACTGAAGTTAGACTATGCAGAGCAAGAAAAATTTCCTAGGTTTTCTTGGTATTTATATTCATTATTCTTGTTATCTATTAAAGCCATAATGAGTGACTGGGAATTAGTGATGAAGAACTCAATCTTGTTGCTAGCAGACTGTTTTCCGTGATGATGTTAATTTCTGCTTTTTAAATGTTTCTGTGCCTGTTTTGAAGTTGTTTGAAAAATATTCCAGTAGCCAGTGAGATAGATTCATGTTGACTCCACACTTGTAGGGTGACTGCAGTTAAGCTGATTGCTAGAAATGCCAAATATAAAACAATATGTGACTAGAAAGCTCAATGGAGGGAATGGAAAATAAGCACACAAACACAATCAAATGTTTCGACCAAAATCTCTATTAGCGTTTTTACATATGCCTTCTTACTTATTTCGTTTCATTATATAACCCTTCATATTTATATCCCCCCCCCCCCCCCCCCAACCCCACATTACCTACTTCTTGGTTTCAGGTTAAACTGTTTTTTTCTATTAGCTCAATTATCTTGTCCTTTGAGATTTCCAGTCACAGTTTATGCTGTACTTATTACATCATTGATAAAGACTTTGGTCGAAATGTTCGGTTGTGTTTGTGTGCGTCTTTTCTGTTCCCTCCATTGAGCTTTCTAGTCGCATTTTGTGTTGTATTTAGCATGTCCAACTTGAGTAGGTTTTGCAAGAATAAAGATATTGTTTAACATTGTGATTACTCTTACAGTCAAACAAAGCTTGATGTTTAAAATGTTGGCGGAGGAATATCATCCAGAGAATCGATCCAGAACACTAAGAACTAAGATCTGTAGGGACACATACTTAGCTATGTCGCAAAGTACTTGATGATGATGTTTAGAGATTAGCAAGACCTGATAAGTTAGTAATCTAGCACATCGGTTGTCAATTTTTTTTTGCAGCGCCACCCTGGTTGGGTTAAAAGAAAATATTGCAGCATAGCTACCGTTAAAGCTGTAGAATATTTAAGAAAAAAACAGTGCACATTTAATGTTCATTTGGCTTTAATGTGATGAAGGAAACTATTTGGATGAATTTGTCATTATTGCTGCAGCACCCCTGGCATACGCTCGCGGCAACAGAGGGTGCAGCGGCACCCAGGTTGAGAACCGCTGATCTAGCAGACTATACATGCGTTACCATGACTTTGTAACCAAATTTTGTTGCTTTATACCATGACAAGAAATTTTAAGTGTTTACTTTTTTATATACATAATATCTGCTGGTGTGGATTTCTACTCCCCATTTTGGGGGCTGGGAGGGGGGGGGGGGAACTAGCCCACTGCTTTTTTCCCCTCCACCTGCAACCCAGCAAGCATGTTGTAAGTCGACTGATAAGGGGTATTTCCTTCAAAGCAGGACTGCATCTGCCTGAGAGGTGAGGAGCCAACAGTCTGTATATAAATAAGCTAGATCTGTAAAACAGACCGTCAGGCAAAACTCAGGTTCTGTAACAAGACAACATCCAGGAGTGGATGACAACCATAACCTTCTGCCAGAGTTTGCCGCCAGTAAACGCGAAAAAATAATAAGAGTATAGATAATTTATAAGTTTAAAAATGTTTCGGACAGCCTAGCAGTGACATTACAGTGTAAAATCTACGTTTAATTTACTTTGTTTTCCTCTATCTCTGTGTTCTCTCTTAAAACGGTAGTTGATACGTTGTGTTCTAGTTTACAGCTAGGCTGTAAGTGGTCTTTTGTGTGTTTTTGTTCAAGTGTTTTGTGTACTTATCATTTCCTTTTTTGGAGTATCACCCAAATTAATCTTCTCAGGGCAGCAGTTTTCAAATGAAATCGTATATAGCCACTTAAACAGATTCTGAAACAGGTGAAAGGTAATCTTTTAGGTATGAAATGAGAAGACTTTACTGTATTTACTGGACCAGTTGTTTTCAAACTAGGGGAAGTTTCAGGGGGACATCAAGCAGTTTTGAAATCGAGTGCATGTGTACTTGTAATAATCTGTAGTACTAACACAGTGGCTCGCAACCTTACTAATTCTGCGACCCTTTAATACAGTTCCCTCATGTTGTGGCGACCCTCAAACAATAATTTTCCTTCATAACGTCAGTGAATATGTATTTTCCAATGGTCTTAGGCAACCGCTGTGAAAGGGTCGTTTGACCCCCGCCGCCCCAAACTTCAGTGAAGTGACTTTTTACTTTATTTAGCCCAGAAACATTCTCCGGACACTTCAGTGAAGTGACTTTTTGCTTTATTTAGCCCAGATTTATTCTCCGGACAAATCAGTGAAGTGACTTTATACTTTATTTAGCACGGATACATTTTCCTGACACATCAGTGAAGTGACTTTTTACTGATCAGATACATTCTCCGGACACATGAATGAAGTGACTTTTTACTTTATTTAGCACAGATACATTCTCCTAACACATCAGTGAAGTGACTTTTTACTTATCAGATACATTCTCCGGACACATGAGTGAAGTAACTTTTTACTTTTTTTTATCTTAAATACATTCTCTGGACACATCAGTGAAGTGACTTTTTACTTTATTTAGCCCAGATACATTCTCTGGACACATCAATGAAGTGACTTTTTACTTTATTTAGCCAAGATACATTCTCCGGACACATCAGTGAAGTGACTTTTCACTTTATTTATCCCAAATACATTCTCCGGACAAATCAGTGAAGTGACTTTTTACTTTATTTATCCCAAATACATTCTCCGGACAAATTAGTGAAGTGACTTTTTACTTTATTTAGCCCAGATACATTCTCCGGACAAATCAGAACAAAAGTGGTTTTTTTTTTTTTTTAATGTCAATAATAAACACGCATTTAACTTCTGGTGAATTTTTTCATTCTGAACGTAACCTTTGCCTAGAAAAACCACAACAGCCAGAAAAAGGCTGTTGTTGGTTCTGCAACAGTTGTAAAGGATACACAACTAACTAACTTTGTAGCATAAACAGATTCAAAGGTTCCCCCCAAAATACCATTGCCTTGAACATTCCATGCAAGGAAGTTAACAATGTGAGTTGCATAGAAAGTTGATAAAATGAGTCGTATGTTGTGTTTTTAAAATTCCATGTTTTTCCTATTGTGGTTTCAGGTCTACAGTTTGGGGATAAAGAATAGACTGACTGCCTCGTAACAAGCAAGTTTGCAAAAAAGTAACTAATTAGGGATTTGCTGAAAACTGATGTGTTGAGTCAAAAGGTGCAAACGTCACAGCCTAGCTGTAAACCACAACATAATGTGTCAACTACC